CTATTAGCTCACAGTGTATTTTGTGTGTGTGTATGAGACAGTAACAGTGTGACAGTATATTACTACAAGCTCACAGTGTATATTGTGTGTGTGTGAGGCAGTAACAGTGTGACAGTATATTTCTATTAGCTCACAGTGTATTTTGTGTGTGTGTGTGAGACAGTAACAGTGTGACAGTATATTACTATCAGCTCACACTGTATATTGTGTGTGTGTGAGGCAGTAACATTAGTGCAAAGTCCAAAAGGACACCGGACATCTCTCCCTGGACGAGCTACAGAGTGGAGGCGGGGCTTCCAGCACATAAAGAGAGCAGCTCTGAGCTCTGAGCTCTGGGGACTACAAGGACCACCGACTGCAGAAGAGGCTTGGAAAGGCAGGAGATAAAAGCAGAAAATCGCTGCCATTCAACTCGCGACACCAAAAGGTACAGTAGGTTTTGGCTCTTAATTTTGTCACACCTCCATGGTCGCCTAGGTCAGGCGCCCTGCATGGTAGCTATCTGAGAAAGGAAAGGGCTTAAAATAAGACGATGAAAAAGAATAACACAATGGTCAAGCAGCTAAAACATACTCTAAATGCATTTCTGCTCATTTCCCAATTCAGCTTTGTTGGATTATCTCTTTCTGCTCTTTAACAATCCAGTTAAAGAAAAATCTTGAAAGCTGCTGAAATTCAAGTCCAGTATTGACTACATGTTTCCCTCTGCATCTCCATATATGCTGACCTTCAGTTATTCTCCAGTTTTGTTTACAGTAAGATTTGAGTGCAAGGACCACTGTCACTGTAACAAATGTCTTATAATGGTACATACATCACATTTTATAATGCACAGTGTTCTATGGCTCCAGTCGTGCTGATGCTTGACATGCCTACTTTAATGCCAACAATAAAAACAAATATCTTTGCACTTATTTGTCCACCTGATTCTGCTCTTAATGGAAGTAATTCAAAATGCAGCATTTTAATCAACATGACTGTTGTCTGTTAGCTGTGTCTCTGGGGCATCAGAGGGCTGCAGTACACAGGTGCCCCACACCTATAGAATGGATTTGGTAAACGATTCTGTTAAGCACCCCCATTAGGAGTGATTATTGTTATTGCCAGGTTGGTGTATGACTGAAATTATGTACAAGGGAAGGAAGAGTATCGATGAAACCGATAGTGTCAGTATGGCAGTTTATGACAAGGCTCAAGCTGGAAGTTGTGCCAGTGTGTGGAGGAACAAAAGGCGACTCACTAAAACAAATATTCATCTAGCAGAGAAAGAGGAAGATTGACAAGGGAGATGACGGGTAGGGAGAGCTGAAAAAAGACAAAGTCAAGGTAACCCTTGAAATCAGAAATCAGTGAAAGAGTTAAGAAATTTGGAATTTGGCAAGAAAGTAATTCAAAATTTCTGTGTTGGGTTTGATTCCAGTAACCAGCCCAGGCTCCAGAGCAATGTTGGACTCAGAAACCATCGAGATGGCCACACTTGGACGCCCCTTCCAGCTGGGGATTCTGTATGACTGTCGCCGGGACGCACTGATTCCAGGTGAGAGGAATCCAAGGGGGTTGGTTTGGCCACCTATCTTGTTAAACAGGCATAAAGAGGCTAAATGATGTTTGTAAAGTATAAAATGATACCAATTGAAAGCTTAGAGCAGAGGACAGCAACTCATATCTCTTGAAGAGAAGTCTGAAGTGGAACAAATGTACTATACCTGTCACGCCCTCTGCAGCCAAAGGGCGCTCCTTCTCTGTCCTGTCTCTCATTTCCGGTTCTCTGCTTTTCTTCCGGTATTTCTCTCTCTCTGGGGCTATATATTTTCGGGTCTTTCAGTCTGCCTTTGCACAGCATTGACGTTCGGATGTCCTGAAACCCGCCTAGCACAAGTCGCCCCACGTCCACTACCTGAGGGAACCCCCGTCTCTCCACTACGCATAGGGTCTATTTCGCTCTCCTGCCTCTCCACGGTTCATCCCTTCCGACATCCGTGACAGAATGCTGAGCCCCTTTTGACCCTGCGAGCGGCGCCTTTTTCCGCAGTTTTTTTTTTTCTCTTGGCTTTTTTTTTTCAGTTCCTCTATTCTAATCGCTGGATATCACTACCTGTTCCTACCTGTTTTTTTGGTTCCTATCTGTTTTTTGTCTCCCTGGTCTTTCCCAGGTTTATATCTGTTGTGTTTGTGCTTGTGTACCTTTTTGTTTTATGTCTCCGGAGCTCTACTCGACCTCCCCCTTTGTCCACCCAATAAAGGTTTATACTCCAGAGGAGGGGGTAGCTCTCAGCCGTGGACTCCCGGAGGTTTCCTTTCAGTTAAATGAGGTTTTTCCTCCCCCCAGTGCTGCGCAGCTCATTTATTTGTATGGGCGTCAAGAGCCCGTACAAATAAAATACCTTTGGAGCCGCAATGCATGAAATAATTCTATGAGAAGTTAAACATTTCTGTAACAGTTAATTTCGGCACCACAGACTCTGGTACAGACTCGTGCTCCATTCCGAAGACACAACGAGCAATCTTTTTATTTTAAATTACCGCTGTTTGTTATTGTCGTCATCACATTTCAACATTATTTAGGCCTTTTCATTGTGTCTTCTGTGTATCGTTCCGTTGCAGAGTTTCTCTCAACATTTGATTTCTTATTGCTTGACAATTTCTTGTCACATATTAAGTACAAACGGAGACAAGAAGGTGACTATAAACGTAAATAAATCATCTTTAAATTCTTGATGTTTGTCGCTACTTTTTCTGTTTTTGGAAAGCCAACCAACTGTCTTAAATAGTAGGTTACAACATTAAGTGTAACGTGCATTCTTAAACCGGCAAAATTCCTGTGTTCTTCGCTATATTTAAAACTACATGTTCCTGACTCAGCCTGATCGTTTGTTGAATCTGATTTACAATTTAATCATCGGATAAAATACTTAAAGTTTTCATATGTGTTTTTATTTTATTGCATCTCAATTTTGACAGACCGCTAATTTGTATTTTTCAGGTGTTTGTGCATGTCTGTCTTGTCTGTTTTTTAGTGAGATACTCCCACACAGAAGATACTTTTGGTCGATATTTGAAGGGACCTTCCTCGGCAGAATGTGGTGCAGCTGCCGCCATGATTAGCCTACTCAAAAACTGCATCATAGCATCCTATTAAAAGCATGCAATTTGTGGGGGAGGGGGGCGATCGATTTATTACATTTCATCGATTAATCACAGCAGCCCTACACTAAAGTGAACTGTCTCCAGCTCTATGACCCTGACAGACACACTGATTCTAGATGAGAGATTCACACTGAGGTGAACTGTCTCCAGCTGTACGACCCTGACAGAGACACTGATTCTAGATGAGAGATTCACACTGAGGTGAACTGTGTCCAGCTGTATGATCCTGACAGAGACACACTGATTCCAGGTCAGAGATTCACACTGAGTTGAACTGTCTCCAGCTGTATGACACTGACAGAGACACACTGATTCTAGATGAGAGATTCACACTGAGGTGAACTGTCTCCAGCTGTATGATCCTGACAGTGGTACACTGATTCCAGGTGAGAAATTCACACTGAAGATGAAGATTCACTCCTCCCATTCACAGATACACACACCAATTGATAAGGTCCAGAAGCCTCATTCACAGGCCTCGCTGCTGCTGGTGCCCACCAGGCAGCGGGGGCAATAAGTTCATTTCTCCCCGAAACTGGCATCCAATCTGGTATAGCGTCATCCCCTAGCGTGAACCCACAGTGGAAACTCCAACTGGCTCCCATCGTTCTGGCTGCTGTTTGTTTTTCATCCTCGTTGTTTCAGTCATGACAAAAGGACCAGAAAAACTGGACGCTTGCATTCCGTAATTCAAACCTAATTCCTCTGAAAGTTCCCCGTTCTTATCACTCACTATTAAATCTTTCTGTTCACTCAGTGGAATCAGGAAGCAGTTACTTGTTATCTGTTCCTACATTTACGCTCCCATCAAACCCTAGATCGGTGATCCATTAAATCCTTGTGTAGAACCAAACAGGCCTGTTCAACCCAAATCTCTCTCACTGGAGGGCCTGCATCACTGGTGGAGCTTGTCAGGCTCATCCTGGTGGTCAGAATGCCTCGCCTTCCGCTCGGCGAGTTACAACAAATACTTTTCCGTTATGTTTTATCTCGGTCGCACTGATTACTTGACCATACTGCTGAAATATTACACCCTGTAATGTGATAATGTTGCATTTTTTGTTCCCCCACAGGAATCACGTTATGGGACGCCGAGATGCTACAGAAAGACATTGATGTGCGTCCTCAGCTGAACACAGATTTCCAGATCATTGCGTCCGACTCCACGGAGGACAAGGCGTCCGCTCTGAATGTGGATGCCTCCCTGGAGGCGAGTTTCCTCTGTGGGCTGGTCTCAGTGAAGGGCTCGGCGAGTTACCTGAACGACAAGAAGACCTCGAAGAACCAGTCCCGGGTCACCCTGCAGTACCGCACCACCACGCGGTTCGAGCAGCTCACCATGGACCACTTAGGAGCCGGAAACGTGCAGCACAGCAACGTCTTCCAGGAGGGATCAGCCACTCACGTCGTCACGGCGGTGCTGTACGGCGCCCAGGCCTTCTTCGTCTTCGACCGGGAGATTTCGGCAGAGGAGAAGCAGCAGGACATCCAGGGCAGTCTGCACGCGGCGATAAAGAAGATACCGTGTGTATCGATCGAAGGCCAAGCGTCCCTCAAAATGAAGGATGAGGAACGCGAGCAGACCGACAAGTTCAGCTGCAAATTCTATGGGGATTTTGCTCTTGAACAGAATCCGGTAACGTTCCAAGACGCCATCAAGGTCTATTCAACTCTCCCACACCTGCTCGGAAAAGACGGAGAGCACGCCATGCCCATGAAAGTCTGGCTTTACCCACTGACAAAACTGGACTCCCAGGCTGCCAAAATCGTCAGGCAAATCAGTATCGGGTTAGTTCGCCGATCGCAGCGTATTTTAGATGAAATGGATGATTATATCGTACAGTGCCAAGATCTGATGAAAGATGCGATTGCGATCCAGTTTCCAGAGATTAAACAGAAACTCCTGCGGTTTAAAGACCTGTGCGTGGAGTACAAGCTGGTCTTTCAGAAATCTCTGGCCAGGCTGCTGCCAGCGATCCGCGGAGGCGGGGAGGAAGAGGGTCGACTCATCGACCTTCTGAGCAGTAGAGAGCGCTCCCCCTTCCGAAATGCCCTGCTCGTGCAGTTCCTAGAAGACAAGGAGCGGGAGCTGAATGTGCTGAGATATTACCTTCAGAAGATGAGCGACGTCACTGTGGCCCCCTCCAGCAGTGACCTGGACCAAGTCGTGCTCAATTCGGCAAATGAGTACGTGGTGTGCTTTGCGTTTACATCACTGAAGCACAGGGAGCAATACCTAACCATCTTGGAAAGCTATCTGACCTCCTTCGAACGAGGGACCGGTGAAGAGGTAGCTCCTGATCTCGATCCAGAGGGAAGACCAGGAAAATGGTTCAGATCAGTGGAGGTCACAGCCCTGACACGGGAGAACATCAGACTATTTCTAGACTTCGAGAGAGAGAACAAAGGCAGACGGAACGTGAAGTTCTGTGTGGCTTCAATCGATGACGAGGTCAACATCGGATCTTCTGTTTACCTCTTTGAAAGGGGGGCTCTGGCCAGCAAGCACTTCGAGCTGCCATCCCAGCCAGGGGTACCGGCAGTGCTGACAACTCTGCACGACTCCGTCCAGCTGGAGTTCCACCCGCCGAAGTACGGTGCCAGAGAGATCGTGAGGTATCGGGTTCTGTACCAGAAACCAGGCGACTCAGCTTGGATGGAAGTGGACACCGATGACAACAAGCTAGAGTTCACCGTGTCGGGGCTGGACCTAAACGCTTCATATCTATTCGGCTGCCAGGCGGTTTGCAAACCCGGAGTCAGCTGTACCAGCAACGCATCTCCTGTCTGCAAGACGTTTCCTTCAGCCCCCCCTGGAGCTCCTCAGCAGAAATCAACAGGACCAAACTCCATGATCATCACCTGGGACATGCCCACCTCTGTGGGACAGGGAGTCAGTGTTACTTCCTACGAAGTTGAATACAGAGAGGTCTTCAAGGGGGCAACGGACGATCAAGACAGCAAAACATGGACGAAGCTCAAAGCCAGAGGGAGGGTGTGCACTCTGGAGAACCTGACGGCAGGAACTTCCTACATCGTCCGGGTTTATTCCAACTGTGGCAAAGAAGGCAAGAGTCCACCAAGCCCCGAGACTCAAATAACAATCCCGAAGGACAGCACAGTCAAAGCAAGGTCAGAGGAAGTAAGTCATGTTAAAGTACAGAGCGACCACTTCCTAAACTTCTCCACTTTAATAGAGCACGGGCAGCCTTCCTCATACAGGCTGTCACTGGAACAGGAGCCCACCGACGAGCAACATTTCCAGCGCTTTACGTTTGGCAGGAAAGTGGAAGAAGGGAACAATAAGGTCATCATCCTTCTGGGAGCCACGGGGGCAGGGAAGACCACCCTCATCAACGCGATGATCAATTACATACTGGGCGTGCAGTGGGAGGATCGGTTTCGATTCAGGCTGATCCACGAAGAGACCAACCGCTCGCAGGCGGAAAGTCAGACTTCCATCGTGACGTCCTACGAGCTCCATAACCAGAGGGGATTCCTTATCCCCTACTCCCTCACGGTCATTGACACCCCGGGGTTCGGAGACACGCGGGGATTCTCTCAGGACAAGCTGATCACGGAGCAGGTGAAGCGCTTCTTTACCGGCCCTGGAGGCGTGGACCACATTGACGCCGTGTGCTTCGTGGTCCAGGCGTCTCTGGCGCGGCTGACCTCCATCCAGCAGTACGTCTTCGACTCCATCCTCTCCATCTTCGGAAAGGACATCGCGGAGAACATCCTCATCCTTGTCACGTTTGCGGATGGGAAGGACATCCCTGTCCTGGGCGCCATCGAAGCCGCGGGCCTGCCCTGCCGCAAGAACCAGAAGGGCAAAGCGACGTACTTCGGATTCAATAATTCTGCCCTTTACACGCAAAACGAGAGGCCCAGAACTGATTCCAATGGGGAGGGCTCCGGCAGCGATGACGAGGGAGAGGGAGAGAACAAGCTAGAGAAAATCATCTGGATGAACAACGTGAAGCAGCTGAAGAAGTTTTTCCAAATGTTGGAGAAGGTGGAGGGGAAGGACTTGACACTGACAAAGAAAGTCCTGGAGGAGCGCGAGAGGCTGGAGATGGCGATGAAGAGGCTGCTGCCTCAGATCTCAGCTGGGCTGGTGAAGCTGAGTGAAATGAAGAAGATTAAGGCATGTCTGAAATCCGAGTATGACAACATGGAGCAGAACAAGAACTTCGAGACGGAGATAGAGGAGCTGGTCCCAAAAAGGAAGAAGGTGGACCAAGCTTCAATGAACTGCATCACCTGTCGGTTTTCGTGCCACGCAGGATGTTTCCTTCCCCCTGTAGACAAGATCAAAAACTGTGCCGTCATGGATGACACGGGGCACTGTGTGATCTGCCCAGGTCGCTGTCACCACTCCGACCACGTATCCGAGATGACGATGTGGGAATATGAAGTTGTGAAAGTTAAGAAGACGATCAAAGAACTAAAGGACAACTTTGTTAAGGCTTCTGGCAAATTGATGTCGACAAAGGACATGCTTGAGAAAATTGAAGTTGACTTTGAGATTATCAAAGACCGGATTATGGAGCTGATCAGGCTGTCCTCCAACTGTCTGACACGGCTGGAGGAAATCGCCCTGAAGCCCAACGCTCTGTCCACAGCCGCCTACATTGAGCTGCTCATCCGCAACGAGGAAGAGGAGGCCCGCCCGGGCTTTGAGGATCGCATCGCCGAGCTGCGCAAGATGAAACAGGAAGCCGAAATCCTCGCCAAGATTGCCCACAACGAGAAACTGCTGCCGGAGGAGTGCAGGATCATGAGGGAGAAAAACCAGAAGCTGAGCAAAATCGCTAAAGACATCAAACTGGCGAGCTCTGCAATGAGAGCCTGGATTGCAGGAAACTGAACAAATTTAAAACTGCATGAGAATTGCTGCGGGAAACTCAATATGTTAAATCTTGAGTAAGTCAAAATACAGAATAATGTTTGGGTTTCGTAAAATAAATGTTCCTAATAGTTCAACTGAAATAAAATTATAACTTAGTTCTACTTAATCACTTAGTTTTAAAATCTACAAAAATCATTTTAAATTTTCTAAATTCAAAGCTTTACTTTCACTGGACTTCTATGCAAACTGATGTTGGCCTTTTTCTCATGCTATTGGGATAAAGTTGCCTTTCAAGTCAATTGGCATCCTGCTACGACTTAAATGATTAATTAACGTTCACAGGGGAAAGTGTGGTTATAGATTATAAAAGGCCGCAGGACACTTTTGGGTTTGCAGACACAACGGTCAGATTGTTTCAAGATGAGAGAAGGCGTCACTGCCTTTCCTGACCACATCTTCTTAACAGAAGACCTAAACACAGATTAAACACTTCTTCTGAACAGCCGCTTCAAGAATAGTTATCAACATGTCAGTATTGTAATTGTCAACAAGTGTCTGTACTTGGTAGATCTATACACCGGTGAAAAATTAAAAATACCTTTCCTTTGAGTGACCTGTTATGCTCAATTTTTGGGCGACTTTGGAAATCATCCATCTAAAATGAACGTTGTTGACTTCTGATGATTCTTGTGCACTTTCTCTCACCTGTATATAAAAGTACATGGGTCACTTACAGGCGTGAGGTACTGCTGACGAGAGACGCTCTGGTCCTCAGGTACGGGGGTATGAAAGAGCGAGTGGCTGGAATTTGGGCCTGCACTTCCTCTCTCTCTCCCGTGTGCGCTCACAGGGTCGGTCTCTCTGAACGTGCTGAAGACGAGAGGAATTTAACACCCCTGACTGGACTATGAGCGGAATAGCAAGCAATCAAAACATTTAAGGAAATCGACTGACATTGTCAAGAGCGTTCATGAAGTTTAAAACCGAAGTTCGGGAGGAAGGTTAGAACTGCCGCTCGCCTGCGCTCGTCAGTCTCACACTCAGGACTTCTCGCTGCGAATCTCACACTCCTTCACTGGGCCAGCTCAATCCTCTCTATCGCATTCTTTACAGTCCAACTGCATCACGGAGAGGAGAGCAAGGAGATTAGTGCTCCGAATCTAGAAACGCCTGAGGGGTAACAGAGAGGAATCCACTGTCACACACAGCAGTGAAACGAGCACATGCAGTCACATGGGGACACTACAAGGGAACTCACAGCAGATGATCGCTTGACAGTATGACATTCTAAACACGGGGTCTAACTCAGAGAATTTCACAAGGCGCTCAAAACCAATCACTCCTATCTTGAGATCAAATGTTAATTGTGGTTTCAGAGCAGGAACAGGATACCTCCTTCCCAGCAGTGTGACTGTTCCCTTCCAGAACCCACATGTACCAAATGCACAGACCACATTCATTCCCTAGCAAAAGTCCTGAACTGGAAGATAAGAAACCAGCTGAAAATAAAATCCCCAAGTGATCCAGGATACGTGATGCTGACTCCCAGCTTCCCCGTCAGTAACACCCCAGAATGACGAGGAACACCAGGGCAGGAGTGAGATTTCACTTTACCAGACTGCCTGAGGTTAGTGCCCACTCCTCTAAAGAAGAAAAAGACCAAGGAAACCAAGGAAATCAGGACACACACACACACACACCACAATATTACCACATTATTACCTGGGTTAATCAGTAAATTACTGTTGATCACTAATTAATAAACCTCAAGATTTAACAGACAACCTGCAGATCTCCTGTTTTTGTTTTTTATATCATTGTTTTTGTGAGTCAAACATCCAAAATACCCTTTCATAATGTATTTCTGTAGTTCTTGCATTTTATTTGTTTTTTAGAAATGTGTTTAAGTTTCTGTTCACTTCCCCTGGAGTGAAACACGCCTCCAAAATAAGTGTTTATAAAACTTTAATTTTCATACAGTACTTCTGCACAACATATTTTCTGTCACTTATTTTTATACTGTATTATTGTATTTTACTGTTTTGATAATGGCTATAGTTTCTGCTGGTTTAGTCTGAACTGAAGCAAACCTTGAAAACACGTTTTTACGACATTGTTTCTGTCGATTTAAGCAGCAGTGATGCAAACCTCCAATATATATGGTTTTAAAACATCGTCTCTGTTCAGCTGAAATGGAGCAAACATGCGAATTATGGTACAAAATTTCACTCAAAATGTTAAACGCCAATTAAAATTAAAGCGGCCATAGAGATCAGTTCACCGATCTCAATAATAAAAAAGACACATTTAAAACGAAAAACCCACAATTTTACTACAAACACACCAAGTTTGTGTCTGTGTGTGGGTGTGAATTGTGAGATGATTTTGTCAACAGGAGATAACATAACAATAAGCAGAAAGTGCGATCACTTTGATCATCCTCGGTTAACCATATACTCTCATAAAGGTCCCATTTAAAACTGCTGTATTAGAAAATCTTGTAAAATGCAAGATTTTGAGACTTAATGATCAGAAGGCAAAGTCACGGTACATGTGAATTCACACTTTCTGCATGTTTTGCCCTTGTCTTATTTACTGGTTGTCTAACATGCCAGTTTATGTTATAGTGAGTTTTGAAAATTGGTTTTCAATTTTTTAAAATATATAATAATATAAAATAAATAAAATATTTCATACAAATATACAATATACAAATATGTCACTATTTAGTTACATATTCCCCTCTACTGAGGTTATGTACAGTAATCCATCCGGATTAGTACATTTAAACATGACTGTAGAGAGCCATCTACAGGCGAAAGGCGACATCACATCACAGCAGCAGCATTTAAACACACCAAGTTTAATGATAAAAAGGCACTTTTACGCCAAACAATTTTACCACAAACACCCCGAGCTCAACGATGACACTTTTACACTGTCAAACTCACAATTTTACCTGAACCCCCCCAGCTCAGTAGTAAAAGGACACTTTTACACCAAAAAACTCACAACATTCCAATAAAAATGACAAACGCCAAAGATTAAATATCTTTAATCTTTAATATTAAAGATCTAATTTGATTACTCTTTTGACTGTTTTCTTATTAGTTATGTTCTTATTAACCAGACGACTTTATTTTGCAGAAATAAACTGTAGCGTATTGCAGGTTCTTTCTCAGAACTAAAGAACAGTGGAGACGCGATTAACCAAGCACTGGCTTTATTTTACAACCACACCCAAAACCAAACACAGGATCTACACACACATGAGGAGACTGACGAACACGTACACACATTTAGGGTGGTAATTACCTAACAACACACTCTACTTTTACAGGACTACACAGGGCACTAG